AAGTCCCGTGACAGATCGCATTGGTGACGGGGGTCTCGCTGCAGCTCTGGATCGAAGCACGCCCGTTGTTTATCAATGGCCAGGGCCCTGACAGGGCCTGGAAAACCTTCTGATGATTCGGCTCGGGCTTTTCCCCCGCCAGTTGGGAGGCTTCCGGGCTCGCGGCGCCCCTGGATGGCAGCGAGGGGGGCGCCCTCCTCATCGTCTGAAGAAGCCTCGGAAGCCCAAGACGCGGGCGAGGGAACATGAAACCACCAGGCTGCAGCCTCAATGCCCGATGCCATGGCCGAGGCCAGCTCCACCGGGCACTGCTCCGACTCGCGACTCCGGCGCCTGTCCACCAACGCAGCGTGCTCGTGCGCATTGCTGCGCCGACGCGCGCAACTCTTCAGGTAGCGAAAGGAAATTCCCCGTGAGTTCGGTACGGTTACGTTGAAGGGCCCCCATCGGGAACCACTGGCAGCCCGAAAACGCACTGGTCGGTCACTTCAACCTGAACCCCCGCGCGCCTGGCCAGCAACTGAACCTCCAGAAAATCCCGCGAGCTCGCACCCTCTGGGTGTCCCATCGAGAAGAAACTACCCAGCATGAGCTGGTGCAAAGCCACCTGCACGCTGTTCGACTGCGACGAGAGCATCGTGATCCATGCGGTCCCGCGAGGGGGCCCTGGCCCGACTAAATGCCTTGCATTCCGGGGACATACTGACGAAAAGAGGCTGATGATTCTGAATGGCCCTCCATAGAGCCACCTGACCCTCCTTAATCCTAAGATCGAAGCCCGTCAGCAGGTCAAACGAGGTCGAGACGGCAGCGATGGGCCAGCCCCTTCGGAACTCGGGGAGGCGAGAACATTTCTAATACTGAGGAGCCGGCTCGGGTCCTCTCTGCTTCATGAACTTGCTGGCGCCTCAGCTCTCATGGGGATTTGAGGCTGCCGCCGCATGAGACAGAGCCGGGCCGTCGCGCCCCTGACCATCTCGGGCGCCGCGGCGTCCCTTCCAGAGTCTAGGTCCAGCGTCGTCCAGGCTGGCTGCCGCCAAGCGGTCTTCGACGCTGCAGTCGCGCGGGCGACTGGCTGTCTCCGCCCGGCCCCTGCGGCTGAGGGGGGTGAGGAGGGATCTGTTTTCTCCTCGGTGTCTCGCCAAACTTGCGATGGGCGGGCGCGTCCGCGCCCCCGGGAATTGCCTGGATCTCGCGGGGGGGCCGTCTGGCGCAACGGAACTCCGTCGGGCTTCAGACAGGGCTTCTCGGCATATTTGAGCGGTCGCACCGAGCCATGGGGCGCTCGGGAACGTATATCATCAGAGCTCTTGGGCCGCGATCGCCTTCGCCCCCCGACGCACGTGGGCAGCCTTCGCCTTTTCGAACTTCTGCCGCGCACCATCGATCTTCCCCTCCGGGGCCCCGCGGTGAAAAGGCCAGTCCGGTGTTTCACGTGCTGCAGAATGCGTAGTTCGAATGCGCGTTCGCCCCCGACCACTGCGCGCATAGGGGGATGAGAACACTGGTCTGCTGAGGACCCCCCTCGCTGCGTCACCTGCGGTGCCATCTCGGCCACCTGGCGCATGTTCTCCGTGGCGTGGGTGGCCCCGATCAGCGCGGGAATAACCGACCTCCTGCGTGGGCATGGAGCGGCCGGACGAAGCTTACCCTCCAAGGAGAGATGCATCTCTGCCTCGCCCATCCCCATCGACGGCCGAGATCCCGCCCGGGTCGTCGCCGACGCATTCCCGCGTGCTGCCGCGATCGGGGTCGCTCACCTGATCATCCATGATGCGGTCTGGGCGGCTCCGGGGAGCAGGACTCGCTGGTGTAGACCCCGAGGTTCTCGCGCCCTTCATCTCGATGGCCCTGCGCGTCGTCGCCCAAGAGCTGGCGACTACAGGCGGCTGGATGCGAGTCCGAAAGTTGAGCTGGGGGGGGCTACTGGCCCGCTGCGCCCAAGACAATTGACCCCCTCGAAGCTGGTTACTCCGAGAGGCCCCCCGGAGCAAGAGAGAAGGGCAGAAGAGGGAGAGAGCTGAGCGACTAAGCTAACCGATCTGTTGGCCACACTCCCCGCGCGACCCTCCCTCCGGCGGTGACCCGCGAGGTCGAGGCACCCGGTCGGCGCGGACTTGCGGGCGTCATCTGGGGCGTGGACGTTGGGCGGGGTCGCAGCAGATCAGGCCGACGGAACGGCGGCTGGACGGATGTCGTAACAGCTGGCGGTCATCTTGGACGTCGATGTCTTCGACCTCCATGACGTAGGACCTCAGATCGATCACCGCACCCGTGTGCTCCAGCAGACGAGCTGGTAGGAGCAGAGGGCGCAGAGGGCCCTGGTTGGGGCATATCAGGATATCCACGAAGCACGATCCTGAAACGGATACCGGAATCCACGTCTTGCCCGCGATCTCTGTCATACCGACACTGCCGCTGGCCGTCTGCCCAGCGTGGCCCATATCGCGAAAACCCTTCATGAAATAGTCCAGATCCCCTCGGCCTAAGGCCTGCCCAGCTGACGTGTCCACCAGAGCACAATCCCGCAACGACTTCAGAGAGATATCCTTCGGGCGGGTCTTAATCGCAAGAAAAATGCCTGTCCGCTCATCCAAACAGCATCCTGCGAAACCAGAGAAGTCCCGCAAGCTCCGGAAAACCTGTCGGTAATGCTGCTCGTTGTGATCCATGGCGTCCAGTCGCTGGCGAGAGCGCCCTATGACAGGGATTAGACCGGACTCTGCAGTTACGTCATCGTCGGTCACACAACTAGAGCTCACGTGATCACACCCACCAAAGCGACTTTCACAGAAGAAATGACATACGCAGTCCTCGTCGTAGAACTTGCTGGTGAAGAAGAAGGTGCCTGATCACTCGACGCCTGCAGAACTCGAGGCATTACCTCAGCGGCGACGCGATCCAGCTTGCAACGTATGGTCGCCGACACGATTCGACCCAATGTCAATTTCCCCACAGCTGGCACACCTGGAACGCCGCTTTAGATCACCTGATGTCACTCGACGGTGTCCAGGACGAGCAGCACGCCACTTGTCGAAAAGACTCTCTCGACCTTCTAAGACGCTTTGAGCTTCCGCGCTTCGACCCAAGAACGTCTCCTATCCTTGCCTAACATTTCTCCAATCACCGCCGCCAGCACTATCATCAACTCGTCTTCTGGCAATTCCTGTTGCTCTAGGGCCACCAGAAATTCTTCTGCATCTGCTTCGGGAAGCTCAGAGGTGTCATCTGGAGGCTCGGCGAAGTATGAATCCACACCGACGTCAGGTACGGTCACGGGCCTTGGAGCGTCGTCCTTCCCCTCAGCTCCTGACTCCAAGAAAGTATTGCCCGTTCCCGTCGTCGCCAGAAAAAGAAAAAACATCTTTCTCGCGGACGTCCAGCTTCAACACAGATCTCGGATGGATCAGTGATATACTTTGCCATTCGCCATGGTCCTCATATTGATATTGTTCTGGTTTGTGAAGTTCGGGCCCTCCTCCAGGAAACGACCTAACACCTCGTCGGGAAGCGTGTCCCTTCGCAGCATATAGTATGTGATGGTCTCTCCTCGCTTCAGCGTGTAGTTGAAAACCGCCGCCGGCTGTGCCGTTCGCTGCCGATCGCCTGGTCTCTCGCCACTGAGCTGAGCTAGGTGGTCCAAGACTTTAGTGGCGCCATCCCAGGTGTTCAGCGCTCTCCAAATATATCCGAACTTCTGTTGGATCTCGCCCGGGAGGCTCTCCATGATCAATCCTGCCCGCTGTTCCGGCTACAACTGGAGACTCAAACGGTACAGCTCTAGGCTGTCGAAGCCCAACCACAGCGGAGGAGCCCCAACATCTCTGCTCTCTTTGCTGGGAATACCTGAAAGTGCCCAGTTACCCGCCATCCACTACCCGATGTCTGGAGTCTCGGTAGCCGCGTTCCATCAGTGTGTTGTGTGGTCTCATCGTGCGGGAACCCACGCGCTGCTCCACCACCACGTCGTTGACGAGGCCTACGGATCTTCAGAGCCCCCTGAAGCGGTGGCGTAGGTCACCCATGGGTCCTGTGCATTGTCGTCTCTGCGTCTGTGCCGTGACGTTATGAGCAGATAGCCTCGCGTTGGCCCCGTCTACGGTCCCTCGCCCCCCATCCGCATGAGCTCCGCTTACCACTGTGTCTCAAGGAGGCCGCATAAGGTACTCTTCTGGGCGGGAACGCGTTTTCGGGACTCGGCGCGGAAGTACGAGCTCATGTCAAAAAACTGACCTGGCTAGATCACAGCAAACAGGCAGGGCGGAGGGACGAAGGGAAAGAGATGGGGAGACCCCCGAAGACCAACAAAGGAGCTCGGGGGACAGCGCAAGTACCAGCCAGGCGCCATCGCCAGGGTGGCATCCTCCTCCTCCGCCTCCTCCTCTTCCCCCTACATCGCTGCGCGGCCGAGCAGAGACTCTAGAGACTCCTCCTCCTCCTCCTCCTCCTCCTCCTCCGGTATCACATGCAGGAAACTGAGAATCATAAGAGAAAGAAGAGGGGGATGCAGAAGCATAATAATATTAATAATGTTAACAACGAATGCGGAATGAAGAATCATAAGACGGTGGAGGGCGGAAACAGAACGACCACTGAAAGGAGAAGGGAGGAGGCAGGGGAGGAGGAGGGAGGGGAAAGGGAGAGAGGAGGAATAATGACAATGAGAGGGGGGGCGAAAGAGGGCGGTCGGGAGACGGAGGGAGAGGAGGCGGAGGAAAAGGCCCTCTCCCCCCGCTCTTCCCTCCCTCCTCTCCCTCCACCGTTTCTCTCCCTCCGTCCTCCTTCAGCTACATCGCTTTCCTCCACTCCTTGCTACCTCCTCGCCCTCTCCTTGTTATTCGGCATGGCGCTGGAGCGCTCGCGTGGGGCGTCACGCCCTCTCCTCCTCCTCCTCCTCCTCCTCCTCCTCCTCCTCATCCTGCTCCTCGTTCTCCTCCTCCTCCTCCTCCTCGTCCTCCTCCTCCTCATCCTCCTCCTCATCCTCATCCCCCCCGTGGCGCAAGTCCTCCTCGAGACCCCGCCGCAGCACCCGTGCCAGCTGCTGCTGCTGATCGAAGAACTCGAAGAACTGGGAGTTGAGGACCTCGACCCACACTGGCAGTCATCCTACAAGTTCTCCTGCTCCAACTCCTTCTCCTCCTCCTCCTCCTCCTCCCTCCTCCCTCCTCCTCCCTTCTCCTCTCCTCCTTTTCCTCCTCCTGTTCATCCTCCTCTCCTCCTCTCCTCCTCCTCCTTCTCCCCCCCCTCCCTCCCTCCCTCCCTCCTCCTTCCTCCCTTCTCATCCTCCTGTTTCTCCTCCACTTCCTCCTCCTCTCCTCCTCCTCCTCCTCTTCCTCCGCCTCCTCCTCCTCCTCCTTCACGTGCTCCTCCTCCTCCTCCTCCTCCTCCTCCTCCTCCTCCCATCCCGTTATCGTCCTCGTGACTGCGGACTGTTTCCTCCGAGTTGGCAGCTTCTTCCCAGCTGAGCTTCTTAGATTGGAGCGAGGGAGGGGGGTATGAACGTGGGCGGGGGGCACCCCTGATGCAGGCCGCCGGGCACAACGCGCGGGGGGGCAACAGGAGGACGAAACGAAATGATGATGATGAAGAGGAGGAGGAGGAGGAGGAGGAGGAGGCGACGGAAGGGAGGGAGGAGGAGGAGGAGGAGACGCACAGAGGGATTGGACCCCCCAAGCCCAGACCTGCCAACGTAGCATCCCTGGAGGAGATCGGGAGGAGAGCTCCTGTGGAGAGCACTCCTGTGTGGAGCTCCGCACGGGGCCACGGTCCTCGTCAGAGAAATGGACCGACATGGGTGCAGCGCCGCCATGCATCCCCTGCCACTGGAGCCTTCTGTGGAGCTGCCTGCGGGGGCACGTTCCCAGTGAGTGGTGTACCGACACAGGTGTGAGGAGGAGGAGGAGAAGGAGGATGTGGAGGAGGAGGAGGAGGAGAAAAAGGAGAAGGAGGAGGAGAAAGGAGAAAGAGACGCGGGGCGATGTCTCTTCGAAACGAGGGCCCAGCACCACACCACAAGATGGTTGGCAAAATAAATTTCTGTGGTCACCAGCTGCAATCAACCGGGCTCGTGCGTTCTCCATGGGATGCATTTTCGAGGAGGTCGTGGCAGAAAGATGAGCAGATCCGTGGAGTGGGACCCTCAGGCTGCTCTTCACCCTCCCTCAGACCCCGAGAGGGGGTTGCCCATCCTCGCGAAGGATGTGCCGAAATTGGTGCGGTGCCGCCATGCAACCCTGCCACTGGATCATTATGTGAAACCCCCTACGGGGCCACGATCCCTGTGAGGGGAGTACCGAAACGGGCGCAGTGCCGCCATGCAACCCCTGCCACTGGAAATTGCTGTGGAGCCCCCAACAGGGGCCAAAGTCCTCGTCATGGGTGTGACGAAAGGGACGCGATGCCTCCATGCGACCCCTGCCACTAGAAATTGTCCCAGTGCGACCCTACCTAGGAGCTGGAGCATGTAGGAAAGCAGCATCTACATCTACACCGACAACTACATGTACATCTACACCTGCATCTACATCTACATCGACATCAACAGCGAGACTCACATATACATCTACATATATACCTACATCTACACCTACATCTACGTCGACACATACATCCACATCTACACCTACATCTACATCTACATATATCAGTTCGCATTGGCTTTGCTTTTGGTGTGCATTGCCTTTGCCTTTGCTATCGCCGTTGCGTTTGCCCTTGCTGTTGCTTTTGTTGTTGCTGTTGCTATTGCGTTTGCGTTGTTTGTGCGGTCGCTCTTGCTTGATTTTGTTGTTGCTTTGCCTGCGCACAGACACACACTCACGCATGTCTTCGCATTCGCTCACCGGGCGTGCTTGAGAATGCTGCGCTATGCTATGTTATGCTATGATATGATATGATGTGCTATGCTATGCTGTGCAATGCTATGCTACCTTGTGATATGATATGCTATGCTGCACTGTGATGGGCTGAACAATCCCATGCTAGGCTCTGCTATGCTGCGCTATGATATGATATGTTATGCTACGATATGCTGAGCTATGCTATGCTATGATATGGTTGGCTATGCTGCGCTGTGCCAATGCTGCGCAGCGCTATGCTGCGCTGCGCTAAGCTAAGCTAAGGTAAGCTAAGATATGCTAAGCTAAGCTGTTCTACGCTAAGCTAAGCTAAGCTAAGCCAAGCCAAGCTAAGCTAAGCTAAGCTAAGATAGGCTAAGCTATAATGAGATAAGCTAAGCCAAGCTAAGCTAAGCTCATATGGGCTACGCTAAGCTAAGCAAAGCTAAGCTAAGCTAAACTAAGTTAGGCGAAGCTACACCTAAGCGAAGCTAAGAAGAAGCTCAGCTACGCTAAGATGAACTAAGCTAAGCTACGATGAGATCAGCGATGATAAGCTAAGGGGGCGTAGCTGGAGGAACCGCGGGGCGGATACTGGGGGAACCGCCCGGGGCGGTGTGCACTGCCTGGTCCCTTTTTAAGAAAGAGAGTAAGAACCCTCTAGGCAGAGCCTAGGTAGGGAATTTCTGTCAGGCTCCCTACGGGGCCACGGTCCTCGTCTGACATGTACCGACATGGGTGCGGCGCCGCCACGCAACCCCTGCCTCTGGAGCCTTCTGTGGACATCCCCACGGGGCCACGCTCCTCGTGATGGGAGTACTGACATGGGTGCTGAGCCACGTTACAACCCCTGCAGCTGGAGCCTTCTGCGGATCTACGAAAACACGATCCTCCTGCGGGATGTACCGACATGGACGCGGTGCCGCCATGCACCCCCTGCCACTGGAGCCTTCTGTGAAGACCCCGACAGGGCCACGGCCGTCGTGAGGGGTGAAGTGAAACCAGAGGCAGGGAAGAGAAGAATGATGAGGAGGAGGAGGATGAGGAGGAGGAGGAGGAGAAGGAGGAGGAGGAGGAGGGAGGATGAGGACGGAGGAGGAGACGCGGAGGAGGTGTCTCTTCAACACGAGGACCCAACACAACAGGATCGTCTGGAAAAAGAACCCCATCTGAAAGGGAAAGAGCTCCCGTCGTGATACATGGTGCTGCTCGAGGGCGCCAGGGAGAGGCCAGGGACGTCCAAAGGCCGACGGCGGCGGCTGCTGCGACGGGGACCTTCACGCTGTTGAGCATGACCGCCGACGAGAACAGCAGAGCCAGGCTGAAGATCTTCGGGCCGAAAGCGCCGCGAGCGTCCTCCCTGGAGAAGAGGCCTCCGGTGCCCAAAAGGGGTGCTCGGGCCCAGACCTCCCCGCGTCGGGAAGCAAGCACAGAGCAGGGACTTCCACGCTAGCGGTCCACTGGGCTCCGGGACCGTCAAAGAACGACTCTCGGGTCGGGACACTGGACCCCAGGAAGACATGTAGATCTCTGGGGATTGAAGAAAACATCACGTCGTCGGAGGTCTGGTGAGCAGGAGCGAGAGGAGGATGAGGAGGAGGATCAGTGCAAACCCAACTGTCATCAACGATTTTGGACTAAGCCCTCCCTCCAAACTCCCTCTTCATAGGCCCGTACAACGGTGCATTTCCACTGAGGGAACTGCCTCGTTGGAAGACAACCGTTTGAAGACTCTGAAGCATGCCCAAACATGATTCCCGGCATTCCACCGCAATGGATCAATCTGACTGTTGCGTCTTGACGATCTGGGGGAGGAGGAAGATCGAATTGAAACGGCGGAAGCCATATCGAAGCGGATCGGCCGGATCTGGATGAACCTTGCAGCCAGCGGGAGACTTGCTCACGAAGTGCGAACACCGTGCAACGATACGGAACGCCGAACAAGTAACGATGGGACGTTCTTGGCAACGGCGGGCCTGGGCTACGAAGAGATCCCCCGACCTGGGTCCGAGGACTGGCCCGCAGTCCACAAAGGCCCCTCCCCGAGCCCATAGTACTTAGCTCACCTTGGCAGCGGCCGGGGGGGGTCTGAACTGGACGGGCCCGAGACCATCTCTTCCAGATGTCAGAGTCGGAGCTGTGATGAGACGCCGAGGGCGCCGCTGCCGAGGTGGCCAGCGTGGCGTCTACGGCCGCCTGGTGGCCTGCACGGTAGCGGGCGTGGGCGCCACCAGCGCAGCGGCTTCGCGCAGTGCGGGGGCGCGCTGATTTCCTGGCGCCGCGGGAAAGAACGCCACGACGGACAACCTTTGGCCACTCTCGCCCTACGTGGGGGCCCGGAGCAGCAGCACAGAAACCTTTCTCGCGGCGGAGCACGCTCAGAGCATGACATTACTCCGCGTGTGTCTCGGAGCAGAGGCTTACACTGGCAGCAAGCTGGAATGGTAAGGTGGCCAACGCCGCTCCTAGGGGTGCAGACCTCTGGCGGGCCACGTTGCGAAACGATCGTGGCGTCGGATGCCTGGGAGGGTTCAGGACGCCTGCAGTCGGCGAGGGTTCCCTGGCCGCAACGACTGAGATGAGAGGCCAAGAAAGGACCTCTGCAACAACAGGATGCGCGGCACCGGGGCCATCGGCAGAGGTCGATGAAGAAGACGGTGGAGACGCCGCATGGCCAAAGACCCCAGGGCCCTGCGCAGGTGCGTGGAATGCGGCGCAGGGATCTCCAACATCTCGTGCGGCTGGGGAGGTCGGCGGAAGATCGGGCAAGCTCTCGGGAACCACAGAGGGGGAGGCTGCTGACGCAAGGCTGTAGAGGTCGATGCTGTCTCTTGAGAGCTCGCAGCCAAGATGTGCCGAGTCTGGAGTAGCAGCTGGCTGCGGTGAGAGACGGTCGAATCAGCCAGTGGTACCGCAGCTGGCGGTGGCGGGACCCCTCGCCGTCGGGAATCGGTGGCTCCACAGCCGCAGGCGAGCGGGGCTGCACCAGAAGCGGCTGGCAACGAGGTGAGCTTGCGGAGGCCTCGGGGTGTCGCTGAGGAGATCGTGTGCCAGGTCTCGGGGCACCGCGGTGGCGGCCGGCTGCGGCAGGGATGTCAAGGTCGGCAAGTGCCCTGCTGGTGGGGACGCGGATTCCTCGCGACCGGGCGGCGCGACCTCCGCGGGCGCGCGGGAGCGAAGCAGGGGTACCAGCTGCCGCTTGCGCCGCGCACGGGCCAATGAGGCCGCAGGGCGGCGGCGCGGAGGCAGCGCCCGACAGGCTGTGCAGTGCAGCGATCCGCGGGGCCGCATTGGGGCGGACGGCAGCAGCTGGGCATCGGCGGCAAGTTGCCAACAGAAGCGATTGTGACTGCGTCCGCGCAGGTGGCAAGGAGCCGACGGTCCGTAGCGTGAACGAGATCGGTTGCGATCGCGCACACATCTGCCTCGAATATCTGAATCGGAACGCGCCCTGCTCCTCCTCCTCCTCATCCTCCTCCTCATCCTCCTCTTCCTCCTCCTCTTCCTCCTCCTTCTGCCCTGAAGCAGCACAAGCTCGTGCTGCAGTACCTGGCGCAAGCTTGCCTCCGCGTTGTCACGTTCAAGCGGTACGGCAGGGACAGCGAGCCGCCCAAGCCGCTCAGCAGCTTCGAGTGCCCGGATGACCACATCCTTTGGCGCTGCGAGGAAGATGGACACTATCGTTGCACGAGGTGCAACACGACGGCCAGCACAAGGTCGTCGCTGGCCACGCTTCGCTCTGGGTCTTCACGGCGGTGCCGACCAACCAGCGTTGAGCAAGCCATGGCGGAAGCGTTCTTCAAACAGACGCTCCGCACTTGGCGGCCCGTTGGTGACGATCGGGTTACCCTGGCACTCGAAGGTCTTGCTGGGTCTCTTCCCGTGGGGCAAGACCGTGATCAAGCTGGACTCGATGCTCCTGGTGGTGCGCAGGCGGAGCCGACTATTGGTGCCGAGGCTGCGGGGCAAGCTGCAGGAGCCGCACCTGCTGCCGCATTTGCCCTTCCTCGTGGCTCAGTGGTTGAGCTCGGCGGCCAGCTCTGTGACGCCGCCGCAGCGATCAATGACCAGATCATCGACGCTGGCACCGACAACCTGAAGGCCGCTTTCGAGCAATTGGGCCATCGCGCGTTCATCGTTAGCAACGCTTACTGCAGCGAGCGTTGCGCTGGCACATGCGATGTCGCACGACCTGCTGATGCTCGTAGGCTACGACGGCCATGCGAGGGTCCATCCACAAACCCGTGTACACGTTGGAATCAGCGGCCTGCCGTTCGCCGAGTCCAGCAAGGCCTACCACCTCGACAACGTGGAGGACCTGAAGAGGCGGATTTGGGCGTGCCGACGTCCAGGGGGCCTGATGGGGGACGCTCGGAGCCCCAGGCACCCGAAGGGGTAGGCAGCCTGCCTGCCCCGTCGGAACGTGTTCACCACCTACGGCGACTGCATGTAGTGGCGACTCTGCGATCGGCGCCCCAGTGGCTCGACGCTTCTTTTCTCTGTCCGTGGTCGTCTTCAGCAAGTCCTTGTTGAAGACCCTCCACGAACACGACTTCACTTTGATGTCGTGCGCGGCCGTCTGCTGCCCGCTTTAGTCGCGCCGCCTGGGCACCCTGACCAGGCGTCGCAAGCTCTCCTCCTACTCCTCCTCCCCCTCCTCCTGCTCCTGCTGCTCCTCCTCCTCCTCCTCCTCCTCCTCCTCCTCCTCCTCCTCCTCCTCCACCCTCTCCTCCTCCTCCTCCTCCTCCTCCTCCTCCTCCTCCTCCTCCTCCTCCTCCTCCTCCTCCTCCTCCTCCTCCTACGGGGCCGATCGCGCGCGCGCAACCCATGCGGACGGGAGCGGCACACTGGGGCCAGGTGGTCCCCACAAGGATGCTGCACAGCGGAGAGGGCAGGCCAGCGAGTTCGGGAGTTCGGCGGGGGATGGGTTACGAGTGAGAGGTCGGGGGTGCTGCGGGGAGGGCTGGCTGGTGCAGAGCAGTCGAAGAAGACGTCGAGATCCATGCAATATCGGGCAAGGCATGGAAACACATATCCATATATATAGAGAGAGAGAGAGAGAGAGCCACACGCAAATTTATCTTATCGTCGCCGACCATCGCATCATCGGTCACATCTGAGCAGCCCGTCTCACGGTCTCGAGGCAGCGTCGACCTGGCCCCGCGCACGCCCCGCCTCGCGGGCAGGAAGCTCAGGCTCTCGACCGCAGGCGGGAACGGGCGTGCAGCGGCTTGGCCATGGCTGCCATAGCGTGGATGGAAGTCGCCGTTAAGTTTGGCACACACGCCACGAGATCTTGAGGTAATACATGTAGGAGCGCAATCGACGCCGGCCTTTGAGCTGCCGCCACCCGCGCTGACCGCAGGCCATCACGGCGTCTGAAGCAGCGGCCCCGTCCGCGAGACTGCGGCCCCTGCGAACAAAAACACGGTGCAAACGATGTGCGAAGAGCGACGAAGCTGGGGGAAACGCATGCCTCATGAGGCCTCCGCAGCGTCCACCAGGCAGGGAAGGGAGCGGGAGGGAACAAGAAGGGAGAAAGCGAATGGTCGCGCCGTGGATGGAGCAGCTTCAACTTCTCGTTTGAGAAGCCATGCGGCATCCTGACACTAAAATTCCAATGGCATTCGGATTGCTGTCCACCTGTCGTCCGCTGACCAAGCCGCATCCGGCCTGCGACCCGAAGCCCCTGATCCAGGCCGGAGGCAAACAAGCCTCTGATGGCCGCGCCCAGCCGCCTTCGCGGGCGGGCGCGCGCAAGGCGGCGGCGCTGCAGCGCAGAGAGGAGAGAAGAAGAAAGGGGAGGGAAGAAGAGGACCAGGGCGAATGGGGGGAGATGTGAGGGTGAGGAGAGGGGCGAGGAACAGGTCGACGATGCCGGAGCTCGAGGACGGCAGCCTTCGGTGTCCATCCAGACCACCGTGCCGAGGCCGTCGATCTCCTCGGGGCAGACGTCGATGCCCCTGGTGTACGTGTCCTGCCCGTGGCCCACCCCGAAGCCCCCGGCGTACGGCGACGTGAGGCCCTGCAGGCGGTTCAGCAACAAGGACTTGCCGCCCCGGTACACGCCGATGACCGGCACCATGAACACTGGCGACCTTTTTAAGGTCAGGACAGGCTCAGGGGATCAACTTACGGTCGGGGACCTCATGACGTTCCCTCATGAGCCTATCCCTCGGGTGTTGCTAGGAGTGCCCCTGGCCCAAGGCAGCCCCAAGATTTCCATGGAGGCCCCACGGCCTCCAGAGAACCCCTCACGAGGTCCAGAGAGCCCCTTGGGCTCCAAAATAGAGCGAAAAGCTGGGGACACCTTAGGCCAGGGGCACCTCTACCAAATCCCGAATCCTTCCGAATGATCATCGTGGTCCGGAGCAAGCACACCTGGAATGCTCGAGATGAGGCGCGGCTGCTGGAGGCCCACCTGGGCCTCGAAAATATTCGAACACTTTGGAGAACTTTCCCCCGCAAGCCCCTGGGCGGGGTGGGCTCTGTCGGGCCCCCATCGGCGACAACTGGGCGATTTGGGGTCGACGCGTCCCCCCCTGAGCCTACCCCCCCCCCAACTGTCCTCGTCCTGCGAATCTCGGGTCATACCGTCATACCTCGAGCCTCCAGCGGCAAAGTCGGGACCATTCCGGCCCACGGAACGCTCTGCACGCGGCGCGGCTGAAGCCCTGCACGCCTCCACGCTGGTCCCGGGCAGCTTGTCGGCGGAGCAGCAGGCAGACGACGACGAACGCGCATGCGGGAGGCCAGGGCCGGCGGGGCGGGCGGGCAATGGAAAGCCATCCAGGCCTCGAACATGTGCAAAACGATTGAGAACTTCCCCCCGCGAGCCTACGATCTGGAACTGTTGCTTGGCGTGTCGCGGCGGCGGCCCCTGCAGCACGCTGTGCCCTGCAGGCGGACCGAGTGTCGCTCCGCTCCGCGGGGCGGGAGGCTGGGAAAGGCTCGGGACGTTGACGCCAGGGGACATGGACGTGGTTAGCGCTTCGCGCCGAAGCGTGCTGGGCAAGAACTGGCGGAGCGACACGCTAAGCTGAATCTCGCGATTGTAACCCCCCCCGCTGGTTTCGGGTCACAACTCGGCTCTCTGGCGACAGTTCGGGGCGATCCAGGCACCCCTGGAACACCCCAAAAGTGGTTAGCGTTTCGCGCAGAAGCGTGGTGTGCGGCGCGACACGCTAAGCACACGTTTCTTACCGTGTCGAGACTGGGGAGCACACCCATGACACTCCTGCGCCGCGAAAACAGCACGACGGACACTGTTTAACCGCTGGGCCCTTGCAGGGCTCCCATGTGCAGCAACTATCAAGAGCTCAGGCTGAAGAGACGGCCCCCCGGAGGGTTTCCAGAACTTCGAGGGCTCAGGGGGGCCACGTTGCGAAACAAGGGGGGGCCGCTCGCCGAATTACACTCAAGAGTGACCCTATAGGCAAGAGTGACCGTTGGAGCGCGGCTGCAGGGGGGGCCGCAGGGCGGGGGGGGGCATGTGGGCCCGCACAAAAAAAGCTCATGCCGGCGCTGGGGCACTCAAGCGCGTGGCCGAGCCACGTTGGGAAACACACCAACCGAACATCGCGACATCGGGGGTGTGGCCAGGGGGACGCTGCGCGGGGGAAAAACAACCGAACTAACAACGGTCCTGCCTTGCTTTGAATTCCGTCCTGGTAGGGCTTTCTGGAAACTTCTCCGGAAGGCTTTCGGTAATCTGCACCCTGGCACGCCATTTCTAGGCCCGTTGACCATGAACACATGCAGAGTGAGACAGCGGTCTGGGAAGCCACGTTGCGGAAACGAATCGAGACGAGAAAGCGGTCCGGGAAGGAGCCTGGACGTCTGGGGAGCCACGCTGCGACCAAAAACGCAACGGTTCGTCCTTTTGAGGCTCGGCGGGGGAGCCGACGCTGTCTCACAAGGCCCTGACACCAGGGCGTCGGCAAAAAGCCAGGACTGACATGTTTTACCCAATTTCGGGCCCAGGGGCCCCTCACGGATCAGGGTGAGGTCAAACGCCCTGTCGTGATGCCTCGCGAAATTCTGATATGTGGACCATTTCGCACCACGTAGTGGCTTTTGGATGGCGAGGCCCCGGACCTGTCAACCCGATCCTGGGTACTGCTTTTCGTCGCGGGGCGGTTTTTGATGGCCTCCTCCTCCTCCTCCTTCTCCTCCTCGTCCTCCTCCCCCTCCTCCGTCTCCTCCTCCTCCTCCTCCTCCCCCTCCTCCCCCCCTCCCTCCTCCTCCTCCTCCTCCTCTCCTCCTCCCCTCTCCTCTCCTCCTCCTCCCCCTCCCCCTCCTCCTCCTCCTCCCTTCCTCCTCCTCCTCCTCCTCCTCCTCCTCCTCCTCCTCCTCCTCCTTCCCCCCCCCCGTCGCTCCCCGCCGAGTGTAAGCCTGTGCCCTGGCACACATGCACGAGAGCTTCACGGTCTCAGCGTGCCTCCGCCGCCCGCGGCCTCCTCTCTCCCCCAGCCGCGCCTCTCTCCCGCTCCTGTGCTCGATCGGGCCCCAGGCCCCAGGGCGCCCTCTCGGTCAGCGCCCCTCAAACGGGGACTCCACTAACGGGTACTTTGGCCAGTGACCCAGCGAACCCAACCCTTCCCGATGTGGGCAAAGCTGCAATGCAAGAAAAAGGCCCTAAAGTGGCAACTTTCGGCAAAAATTCAAAGTACCCGTTAGTAAGTACCCGTTACGGTGCCGTTGACTCGGCTGCTCCGACCGCGTCCCGGACCGTCGCCGCGACAACAACAGAAACAGTCTGGTGCAGTCGGGCCTACGTGCAGTGGAGGCCAGTCCACGAAACACCTTCCACAATAAAACCAACCCTGAGACCCCGGGACATCCATCGATGCTTGGTGTTGGCACGTCGTGCTCTCAATCGCAAAACCATCGACACCCAAGAAACCCTAGGGCACCCTTGACGCAAGCACGGTGTTCATTGGCAGGGGTCTCCGCTGTAGCATCCTTCAAGAAGACGAAATCCTCCGCCGGCCAAAGCACACAGAACGTCCAAGGGTGCCCTCCCGTGTGTGCACGAGAACACGCCTCGGTCCCACTGTACGAGACAGGCGCCCATGCACCGTACCATGTCTGGACTCCCCGCAGGCCCCGATCCAGGGCGGCACGCTGCATCGTTGCATCGTTGCTCGGCAGTGACGGCCGAAAAACTGTGTACAGTACCAGTGCGTGCTCGAGGATCAACGACGCCTCGAGAAGCGCCAGCGCGGAAGTTTGCACACATGTCGTACGCGCGGATGTGTGCATGCGTGCGTGCGTGCGTGCGTGCGTGCGTGCGTGTGTGTGTTTGTGTGTGTATGCGTTTGTGTGTGTCCTTGTGCGTGTGTGTGTGCGTGTGCGTGTGCGTGTGCGTGTGCGTGTGCGTGTGCGTTTGCGTGTGTGTGTGTGTGTGTGTGTGTGTGTGTGTGTGTGGTGTGCGCGTGTTGTGTGTGTGTGTGTGTGTGTGCGTGTGTGTGTGTGCGTGTGTGTGTGTGTGTGTGTGTGTGTGTGTGTGTGTGTGTGTGTGTGTGTGCGTGTGCGTGTGCGTGCGCGTGTGCGCACGAGTATGAGCGCATGTGCAATTGAGTGTGCGGGCGGGTGTGCGTTTGCAAATGTGTGTGTGGGTGTGTGTGCGTGTGTGTATACGTGCGTGCGTGTGTATACGTGCGTGCTTGTGCGTGCGTAGTTGTGCGAGTGCGTACCTCGATTTTGCCCCAAGCCGCCAGGATGCCAAAGGGAGGGGTTCTGGCCCGTCTGTCCAGGGGCCGGCGGCGACCGCAGCCCCGCGAGGAGCGCCAGGCCGTCGTCCACAAGGCGCAGCCCGTCGGGCGAGCCGTCCTCTGCCAGGGAAGGCCGCTCGGGGGGCCTCTCCTCCTCCTCCTCCTCCTCCTCCTCCTCCTCCAACTCCTCCTCCTCCTCTTCTAGCTGCCATCTGGGCCTCTCCCCGACTTCGGCCTCGATCGATCGATCGATTCTCTGAGACAGGTCCTCGATGTCGCAACACTCTCGCGAGGAGTGAAGTTCCCTCGGGGGCGTCGGCGCCGACGCGCCACTCAGGGGTGCCAGACGCGGCAACGTCCTTGGTCATGCACTGAAGGGAACGCTAGAATCCCCTCACTGACCCGGCACGCACCACAACGCCAGGCAAACGGTTGAAGACTAGAATCAGGCCACATATAGACCGATGAAGCATCCGAGGACGCCTGGGCTGAAAAGGTGCATGCAGCGCCTTGCTGCGGATGCGAGATTCCACTGGGAATTCGCACCTCGGACAAAGAAGCCACGGATGCCGAATTCTTCCTCCATCCATCGATCGCGGACAACGGCGGCGGCGGCCCCTCGCAGGTAGCGGGTGCTTGGCTCGCTCCGCCCGCGGCAGAAGGCGTGGCGGGTGGGCAGCTCGGAGTGGGCAACAACAATACCTTTCCACTCCGGTCTTGCCCATACAGTCGGCCCGTAACATAGTGATGCGCGATGAGGATGCAAGGGAAGGCCAGTTCAAAGCTTATCGGGGGCACGGTCAGCGAAAATGGCAGAGGATGGGCCGAGGAGGCAATGATGTAATGGTACCCTTGGGAAGGTCGCCCATCCTTATGATGCGGGTTGGCCGTAAGCGTTTTGTGACGATGGCGGCAACTCCGCCAGCTTCAGACCCGGCTATAGCCTGGGGCATCGGCCAGATTGCACCAGTGCAATCTCCCACACGGGGCCTCGGCCAGCCATGCTCTCGCACGCGCCAGGCACGCCAGGGGAGAGAGAGAGAGAGAGAGAGAGAGAGAGAGAAAAAAAAAAACAAAAAAACAAAAAAAACGAGAGGGGAGGGAGGAGGGGAGGAAGCAGCAGAGCGAACACCACGTGGGGACGGGCCTGACATTGCGGATCGGACAGTCCACCCAATATTGACCTGCTGCCTCCTGCGGCAACATACGAAGCGCTGGCACGTCAGCGTGGAGCACAGCAAGACAGACAAGCTCCTCTCGCGAGCGCCTACCGCAGCAGTGGGGCGCGGGGCCTGGGGCACGAGTGGCGCGGGGCGGGCAGCGCGCAGATGCACTCGGAGGCTCCAGCGGCGGGCGACGTCGCCCATGCGAGGCCAGAGGAGGCCCGTGAGGGAGGAGGGAAGGACAGACGGAGAAGGGAAGAGCAAGAGGGACAGGAGGAGACTGGAGCATTGCCGGGGGGCAGCATCGAGCGGGGATCGGCGACAAGTCGAAGATAGATCGGCGACAGGCCCCCGAGCGCGAAACCGCAGGCTCCTGGGCGGGGTGGGCTCCATCGGGCCCCCATCGGCGATAACTGGGCGATTTAGGGTCGATGCATCTCCCCCTGAGGCTACCCCCAGCGATCCTCGTCTGGATTTCGGGTCATAACCCGAGTCTCTGGCGGCAATTCGGGACGATTCCGGCGTCCGCCGAACGCTCTAGACAAGTCGCGGCTGATGGAACCCAATCCAGACCTCGAAAATGTTCAAAAACTTGTGAAAACTTCCCCCCTGAGCCTGCGGTCGGGAACTTTTGCTTGGCGTGTCACGGCGGCGGCCCCTGGCAGCACGCTGTGCCCAGCGAACGGAAAGCGTGCTGCTCCGACCCGCGGGGCGAGAGGCTGGGAAAGGCTCGGGATGTTGACGCCGGGGGAGCGGGACCTGGATAGCGCTTCGCGCCGAAGCGTGGTGGGAAAGATGACGGAGCGACACGCTAAGCTAAATCTCCCGACCGTATCTCCCAGTGGGTTTCGGGTCATGATCCAGGCATCCTTGGAACGCCCTCGGCGAGGCGCAGCTGCTGGAGCACTTCCCCAGGCTGGAGGGCCGCTGAGAATCTACGAAAACGCCAGAACACGTACCCTTTCGAGGCTGAGCTTCCCGACCGCAGTTCCCGACTGTGTGTCTATGGCCGGCTTCTGCCTCGCTCCTGACCGCATCGCCCTTAACTAGAGGCCTCCTAGATGGGGTCCGAGTAGGGGTCCAAGGTTCGCGCCGCATCGCCAATGCATCGCCGATGTATCGGCGATGCATCGGTGACGTGAGCGATGCATCGGCGGCGCTGGCGTGGAGAAAAGCGGGCTGCTCATCGAACCGCATCGGCGATGCATCGGCGATGCGGCGCGATCCTCCAACCCCATCTACTCGGACCCCATCTAGGAGGCCCAGATCCAAGACGACGAGATCTATATGCGTGTCCACGACCGCTGGCCGGGCGGCCCATCCATGGCTCCGGAACGGTGGATGCGCCTCCCTGGCCAAGCCAGGAGGGTTTGCACACCGCTCCTGGGCCCAGGGGCAGTGGATACGTCTAGATCTCGTCGCCCTACGACTCTGGACCACCGGCGGCGATCAACCTTGTGAACGTCCGCGGCGAGGTAGCCGCCGCGTCGACACGACGCGAATGCGAACTTGCCATATCCAGACCCCCGACGTCATGCAACGACCACGCATCGACTATGCATCGCCGATGCATCGGCGATGCGGCGCGACCCACCGACCCCATCCACCCGGTCCCCATCTGGGAGGCCTAGATTAACGACGCCCCTAACGTCAGACCGGGCATGTCCTCCTGCAGGCGAATCGTGGAAGAAACCAGAACATAATCCACGACAGTATTTTTCAAACATGTCAAAACTAGTAGAAAAATTGTCTCCAGACTATTTTTCCAAGGGCTCTCGACTTCGCGCTTCGCGCTGCGCGAAGCGCACAACTTCGCGCTCTCGCGCCGCCTCCCAGGGGAGAAGGGGAGGATAAGGAGGATCGGAGCCGAACCGCGAGGCGCGAAGCGCGAATAACTTCGCGCCCTCGAGGGCGCCCTTGTTGTCATTGTCTTGAACTGCCCTCCTGTAGAGGAACATGCCCGACCTGACCTTAGCGATGCCCCTGGCGTCCTCGGTGGTGACGTTCTCCAGGAGGCGCACGGGGCACCGCGCCTGCGGGGAGGGACGGCGGCGGCGGCGGCCAGAACGGCCACCGCTGCGGGGGCCTGGCAGACTCACAGCACGCACGGGCGGCCTCGCCTCTCTCTTTGCGGGGGGGCGGCCCAGGCGCACAAATGAACATAGACACAGATCCAGGGACTCCCCATGGGTTCCTAATACGTCCAGGGTCTTCGTCTTCCCCCCCACGGCCCACCGGTTCCTGTGTGTTCTGGCTCTTCGTCTTCCACCCCCCCCCCACTTCCCATGTGTGCTCCCAGATCTCCCCTGGAGGTCGACGATCCCATTGTGTCTGTGCGTGCCTTCCCCTCCTGGCTCTCCTCTTGCCGTGGGGAGCGCACGAGCTTCTCCGAAGGCAGGACCTGCGCCGGCCGTGCGTGAACGCCTCCGGGAGTCCGCGGGCAAATTTCGCCCCCGACACAGCCGTCGGGAGGGCCGCGCGGCGCCACGGACGGCGGGCCCCCGGGGCGGGGAGGGGAAAGGGTGAGGAAGCGAAGGAGAGAGGCAGGGGAGGAGAGGCCCCCCCGGTGGGGTTGGAGCAGATGGGGTCGGACCATCGCACCGCATCGCCGACGCATCGTCGATGCATGGTCGACGCGTCGTCGATGCATCAACGAAGCATCGGAGGTGCGGCGCGATCCTCCGACACCATCCCATCCACTCGGACCCCAGCAGGAAGGCCTGGAGGCAAGGGAGGAGCGGCGGAGGGGGAGGAGGAGGAGGAGGAGGGAGGAGAAGGGGAGGAGGAGGAGGAGGAGGAGGAGGAGGAGGAGGAGGAGGAGGAGGAGGAGGAGGAGGAGGAGGAGGAGAGGAGGAAGAGGGAGGAGGAGAGGAGGAGGAGGAGAGGAGGAGGAGGAGGCACAGGAGGAGGAGGAGGAGGAGGAGGAGGAGGAGCAGGAGGGAGGAGGAGGAGGAGGAGGAGGAGGAGGAGGAGGAGAGGAGGCGATGGAGGAGGAGGAGGAGGAGGAGGAGGAGGCGGAGGAATAATAGGCGGAGGGATTAGGGGAGAAGAGGGCACCTCTCGGGCGGCGAGCCCAGACGGCCCCCGCTCGACGGAAAGAAACGGGTGTTGCGCCGTGACTTGTGCGGACCGCAGGCGTGGCACGCTACATTGGCAACGAGGGCGCTTACGCGCGACCTTACGCGGGGAGCTTACGCTCGCATGTCGGTACAGTCAAACACCTTATTCTGCTAGAGGCCTCCTAGATGGGGTCCGAGTAGATGGGGTCAAAGGATCGCGCCGCATTTCCAATGCATCGCCGATGTATCTCCGATGTATCGGCGATGCATCGGCGATGCACCGGCGATGTCGGCGATGCATTGGCGACATTGGCGTGGCGAAAGTCGGGCTCTGAATCGACCAGCATCGCCGATGCATCGGCGATGCGGCGCGATCCTTCGACCACATCTACTCCGACCCCATCTGGGAGCCCTAGATCTGCATCGCTCACATCTCGTCGGAGATCTGGTCAGTGAGAAACTGGCCCGCATGGACCCCTGTGAGGGGCTCCGGCGGCCGATCCTTTAGCTGAGATCAGCGGGCATCAATGGTCGGTGGCAGCTCATGGGAGCCTCCCAGACAATCTTGTCCGCTCGTGCGAATCGACGCTCGTCGACGCTAAGGCGACGGGCGACGCTAACCGACGCGAGATCGACGCCAATCGACGATGGCTGATGCCACATCGGCGCCATCTCATCCACTCCCAGACGCCAGTCGACGTTCATCGACGCTAAGAACATAATTAAGAGAGCACACCGGGCTCCCATGTTTTGCTTACCGAGTACAGTAGGAGCCCGACCACGAGAAACCTCTTCCACAGGAAGCTGAACCCTGAAACCCCAGGACGTCCGTTCCTTGTTCGGTGCGGGAGCGCCACGCTTTCCTTTTTGCAGAACCGCACGAAGCCGTCAAAACCCAAGAGACCCGGAGCACCCTGGAGGCGAGCAGGTATGTTTCTTGGCATGGGCCCCTGCCGCCAGTGTGCCCACATCCGCACGGCCGCCTCGTTCGCGGTCGGGGCGCGGAGGCCCGATCCCGTGGATGCGCGCTCCCGTGAGCTCGCTCGGGCGCGGGGGGCATGCGCGCGAGGCCACCCTGCATGGCCACGGGGTGGCGGCCCAGAGGTCTGTGCCCCGAGGCCGTGGACAGGGAGAAAGCTTCCGCATGCCTGAAGGGGCCCATGGACACACACACACACAAGCACAAGCACACACAGAAGCACACACACTCACATACACATCTGTATGTATGTATATATATACGAATACGAACAAATCCCATGATCCCCAGCATGTTACGACATGTTGCCCTTAGGCGCCGACTCATTGTGTCCGTGCGCTTCCGTCTCTCATGAAATGACAGGGAACTGGAGCCGAGATCGTAAGGTCGACCGTGCTCCTCGCACGACGGACTGGAAGACGATCGCTGCGCGATCGGAGTCGCATATTCTGGCCAAGCCGCAAGCGGCAAGAAAACCTGGGCCGGGCACCACTTGCGGGGACGGGGGATGGAGAAGGACGTATCCTAGTCTGCCGCCTGGTTGTTTTGCTCCTCTGGTTAGGCCTCTGGGGGCCAATTTCGGGCCCTCGGAACATCAGAAATACGTTCTGGATGAAGAACCTGCCCTCGTGGATGGGATCGGGACATCCATTATCCCCGCTTCGCGCAAACTGATCCAGTGTCCTGGTTCTGCATCAGTCAACTACACCTTAGCCTCCTCCTCCTCCATCTCACCCTCTCGTCCTCCCCCCCTCCTCCTCCTCGCCCCTCCTCGCCCCTCCTCCTCCTCCTCCTCCTCCTCCTCCTCCTGCTCCTTCACGGCGCCTGCCTCCTGCTCCGTCCTCCTCCCTGCGCCTACTCTCGCCCTCCAACGACTGGACTGTCCGAAGTCGTCGGGCCCAGGAGCTCCACCATGGGGGCCCAGACCTGGCCCCCTGGACGAGGGAAGGAAGGCAGGCAGGAAGGAAGCAACGCTGCGGGAGGTCCCGCGCCCGTGCCCCTGTAGGGCTGCCGGGCTCGCTCCGTGAAACTATAGTTAGGTCGGCATGCCCTCCGAAAGGCGGATTCGGGGAGAAAGCTGAGTAGTAAAAACTCAAGCATACCCAATCAGAATCGAAACATCCTTGTCAGAGTAGTTATGGACTACTTTTGAGGTCTCCTCCTGGAAAAGGGCATACTCGACCTACAGCCAGATCAGTCTGCGTAGCGCTTGTGGGGCCACCCATGCACGCGAGGGCCCTCGGGTGTCCTGGGCGCCCTCGGGTACCCTGGGCGCCAGCATCTGCGCTAAGAGACAAAATCGCTGGGCCCTCTGCTCTTCTGGAGGCCATCGGGGTCGCAGGATGTCGGGCGCTCCGCCAGGGCAGCCAAGTTCGCGCTTCGCGATGCGCGAGCCACATGGAGCTCTCAAGCCCAAGCCCTCCCCTCCCCCAGAACAAGAGGAGGAGAGGACGCAGGATGATGAGGTCAGAGGTCCCATAAATCGGAGCGCAGAACGACTTCGCGCCTAAAGTCCTCGTCCTCGTCCTCGTCCTCCTCCTCGTCCTCGTCCTCATACTCGTCTTCCTCTTCCTCTTCCTCCTCCTTCTCCTCCTCCTCCTCCCTCCTTCGGCAGCCAGGGGATCGGGGGCAGGTCTGGTCCAGGTGCCTGCACGTTTGAGGCGGTGGGATCTGGGAAAGCCGGCGGACCGCTGAGGAGGGAGCAGCGGCTCGTGCCTCGAGAGAGCAAGGGACACACACTCCATGTCCCAGGACAGAGCGCAAGCCGGAAGCGCCGGGGCAAAACTGCCGTCGGGCGAAAGCTCTGGCGCAGAGCCCGAGATGTTCGGATCAGAAGTTGTCCCTGACGACCTCCAACCCTGCACTCTTCATACCAGCGCCGAGAAGTCGCCCCGTGGGTAGGGAGAGGGGAAGAAAGCAGAAAGGGGGGAGGGGGGAAGGAGGAGAAGCAGCAGCAGCAGCAACAGAAAGGGGGCGACAGCAGAGAGGGGGAGAAGGGGAACGACCCCCAGCCCTGCACACTCGGGGCCATGGCCTCGCAGGACACCCGCTGGTGTGAAAAACACGCCCAGGGGAGCCAAACCCGCGGGCGCCTGCCCGTACCGAGAGAGGGCAATCCGACATGCGGCTTTCGGCAGCCAGCGAGGGGGGGGAAGTGGGCGCTACGCTGGCGCTTACTTCGGCGGCGAGTAAACGGGAGCGCCTACTTCGGCAGCCAGCGAGAGGGGGGAAGTGAGAAGGAGAAGGCCTTCTCAGAAGGCGGCGGGGCTTCTCAGAAACCCTCTGGCCTTCTGAGAAGTGCTCTGCGTCTTCGGGGAAGTCCTATAAGACAACTTCTCAGAGAAGGCTGGGAAACTTCCCGAGCCTTCTGACAAGGCCCGCCCTTTCTCGCTTCCCCCCTCGCTCGCCGCCGAGACTTGGCAGGGTGGGGGCTCTCCCCAGACTCCCGTCGTCCCCTGCGTCCCATTCTTTAAAGCAGCGCGGCGCCCCAGAGGTCTGGCTGGACCTCTTCATGGGGATCGGTTCATCATCCACTATAGCTGTTGGCGGTCCAGGGGGGGCCCGCGAGGGCCCCTGAGTCCCAACATTACAACAACAAGCGGTAACAATAGGTCTTGACTTTGATCGCGACGCGAGTGGGTGAAGGAAGAGGAGGAGGATGAGGAGGAGGAAAAGGAGGAGGAGAAGAAGAAGAGGAAGGAGGAGGACGAGGAGAAGGAGGAGGAGGAGGAGGAGGAGGAGGAGGCGGGGGATGAGGAAAAATAGGGCGGGGCGGCGGAGGGAAAATGAGGAGGCGACAAAGCTGAAAAAGGACTCGGATCCAGAAAACTGACCCGCGTTGGGGCAAGAGCGCCACTCTGAGGGACGGTAGCAGCGCGCCAATCTAAAAATGGTGCCCACGCTGCAGCGGGAGCACCGTTTTGAAACAGCGGCAACAATCGAATATTGGGGAGCGGGGGAGGAGGAAGAGGGAGAGGGGAAAGGAGGTGCTGCCGGGGGGAAGGAGGAGGAGGAGGAGGACGAGAAGGAGGAGGAGGAAGAGGAGGAGGAGGAGGAGGAGGAGGAGGAGGAGGAGGAGGAGGAGGAGGAGGAGGAGGAGTGGGATGACGGGAGGAAGGAGGGGTGGGAGGAGGCGGCGGCGGTGGCTGCGGCGGCGGCGGAGGAGGAGGAGGAGGGGGAAGACAAAGAGTGGAGAAGATGGGAGGGGTGGACGAAGCCGGGGAGGATATCTTCGCCGCCCGCCGACCCATCCTCCCCCCGCCCGCCTGCGCGACCCCGGAGCACGCGAGCGACCCCAGCGCCGCGGCCAGGGCCGCCCGCCGGGCGGCGGGCATGGCCATGCCCCTGCCAGGGGGGGGGGGGCGGGGGAGCGGGCGGCCGGCACCCCCTCTGCCGCACCCCTCCCCCCTCCCTCGGCCACAGAGTGGGTGGGGCGGGCGGGTTTTGACCCCCCCCAAATTCTGAAAAGGAACCGCCTTCACTCCAACTCTCTTCCACTCCTCCGTCCTGCTCGGTTCACCACCGCCACCTCCTCCTCCTCCACCTCCTCCTCTCGTTGGGGGACCAATACCCCTGGACCACTCCCGGGCCGCGCTCTCGCAAAGATCTCGAGGCGAATACATCCGTGGCGACGAGGGAAGGGCAGCGGCATCGATGTGGTATCCCCCTCCGGCTCTCCTCTCTACCATATGCTCCTGCGTGGCAGGGGCTCCCCCTGCCCACCCGCTCCACCGCTGCAGCAACTTGTGGTATGGCATAGCATAGAGTAGCGCTGCCAGTTCCATCCTGCGTCCTGCTTGTCAAGTTGCGGGGCTTCTCGAGGACGCTGCGCCTGCCCGGCCGGCCCCCCCCCCTGCCCCGCTCCACCATTCGGGTGAAGGAGCCTTTTTCAGGCAACCCGTTACCCGCTTGTTGCTGCGAGCTCTCGTGTGAGCAACCCTTCAGAGCAGGAGGAAGGCTCGCGCGCCCACTTGCACACCCACCACGATCCAAAGTCTGCGAACAGGAAAGGCAAGCCCAACACGCGCTCAAGCACACTCGGAGGAGGAATGGAGGGGCCATCCGCCGCCGCCGCCTCCTCTAACAAGGATGTGTCGACGCAAGTCCCCAACTTCGCGGGACTGTCGCATGGACCAACATGTTGGGCCAAAGTCGCGGATACACATACATATATATATATATATATATGTGTGCAATGGGTGGGCGTTCATCCTCGGTAGGTGTATGTGCCCCGAGTAGCCCCCTGGAGGTTCCCCGCTTTTCTGAGCGGCCTGATCTTTCCGGGGGGAACCCTGGGATTTTGGGGGCGAAGCGCCGCTTGTGATCCTCTTCCTCGTCTTGACGGGAAGAGGGCAGCGGCGGCGAATCCCCGCGTGCCCCGATGGCGTCGGGGGGACGCCGACGACGACGACGCCGACGACGACGACGACGACGGCGACGGCGACGCCGACGACGACGCTCTCGACGCCGCCGCCGCCCCCGCCGCCGCCGCCGCCAGCGCCGCAGGCGCGGGCGCGGGCGCCGCCGACCACGACGTTGACGTTCACGTTGACGTTGACGTTGACGTTGACGACGGCGGCGACAACGACGACGACGACGACGACGACGACGACGACGACGACGACCCCCCCATCCGGCAGGGCCTTGTCGCCACGGTGGAGCTTAGGCCGGCCGCTGGGTGGGGCGCTAGGCGCTGGGGCCGAGGAGGGCGGCGGTGGTGAAGGTGCTGGCAAAGGTGGCGGAGGAGGAGGAGGGAGGGAAGAGGAGGACGAAGAGGAGGATGAGGACTACTGAAAACTGAAGACTCATCATCGATGTTGGAATAAACCCTCCCTCCAAGTTCCCTCCTCATAGGCCCCTACAACGGTTCATCTCCACTGACGGAACTGCCTCGCTGAGAGACAACCATTGGAAGACCCTGAAGCATGCCAAAACACCATTCTCGGGACTTCAACGCCACGGATCAACCTGAGTACTGCGTCTTGATGATCCTGCACCGTGCCAGAATACCATCCCTGGGACTCCAACACCGCGAATCCAAATAACTGTCGCACCATCACAATCCTGAACCCTTTTCCAAAACACATGTTTAAAACGAATGTGACGGGCGCTGAGGCGATAACCACATTCTAAAAAAAAAGAAAAGAAAAGAAACCGCCCTCAATCCGTGAAGCTCCTGCAATCCTGTAATACGAATGTTCGCGGCGCTAAAGCGAGAGCGCCTTTTTGGAATCCGCCCGCCCTTCAAGTGTGAACATGTTGATAACGTTAGAGTTTCAGGGTCGTAAAGGAAGAGGAACTCTCAGGCGAAACGCCCAGCCCGCCCTTTGGACCAGCCTCGGGGTGCGACGGGGAGGAGCTAAGTCTAAGGAGAATACGGAAAGGAGAAGGAGGAAGAGGAGGAGGAGGAACAGCACGGGAGGAGGATACGTAAGGAGGAAGAGGAGGACGAACGAGGGAGGAGAAGGAGGAGGAGAAGGAAGAGCGAGAGGATATAGGGGGACGGTAGAGGAGGTGGCGGGGAAATGCGCATAGGCCACCGAGCCTCTGTACACAGCAGGATGGATCGTCCTTGGGGTGAGGCTTGGGCCCTTGGGGTGGCCCTTGGGGCCCTTGGGGTGAGGCTTGGGCCTCGAGAGGCCCCCTCCACACGTTACAGGTCGGACCCGATGAATCGTGTTTATTTGAGCACCAGCGTGGTCGTCCGCCGTGCCGAGGAGCTGACGTGCCGCTTCCTGGGCCCACCCATGCTCAGACCCTGCCAGCGCTGCTGAACGCAGCAGGCACACACGCTCTATACAGAGCGCGTAACCTGGTCGAGTCACACTTCTCTGTTCCAGCTCTTCAAATGATAGCCACGTTTGGGCCTCAGCGGGCAATGGAGGAAGAGGACATGAGGGAAGGATGAGGAGGACACGACGACAAAGAGCAGGACGAGGAGGAGGAGGAGGAAGAGGAGGGGGAATGAGAAGACGAAGGAACATGGAGCAGGACGAGGACAAAGAGGATCGAGGGCATTTCTGTTACGTCCTTCAGGTGGACGTGAGGCAACTCGTGGGAGATCTTCGCAAGAACGATTGAGGGCTATCATACTACAGACCCGGTGAAGGGACAACTCAGCCAGGATTGACCGGAATGTATTAGAATTGTGCCAGATAGAACCCATTCCTGCCTCGGTCCATACTGTGCGTGGGCCCCAAATGCCGCCACCGGTCCCCTCGAGCCCTCAAACAAACGAAATGGGCGCCCGCATTTCTCCGAACGCGACAGATGTGTGACCGAAATTCTGGGCTCGACACCAACATGTCCCCCCCTTCGCTGTCAAATTCGGTCACACTAGGTCACTAGGTCTTCGGTGACAATCTCGGCCACGTTTTCGGTCACCGTCTTTTGTTCGATCGCATGATTGTTCGGCTGAACAGGGGGTGAACAAACCCTGGGCGATCGCGGACTCCCTGACCCAGTCTAATACAAATCTGGGTCACTCAAACTTGGCAAGATCCTGCGAGATCCCTGCAGGATCCGAATCATACACCCAAGCCCGGATCAGAGCGACTCTGGCCCTCCAGGGCCTTGCAAGGTCTGGCGTTCTGACTGCTCCCCGTTTGCATTGCCCCACGTCCCCAGAGATGCGACGTCCTAGTTTTTCCAGCGCGGCGTCCCCGGAAGTCCCGACCCTTTCCCTGGGACAGGTTTTTCATCCTGAGTTGTTCTGTTGACGGTCCCGAGGCCTGGAGTCGGCCCCGCGAGGCCGAAAGGGCCAAAAACTTCCCGTCCTGGGCGGGATCCTGTTTGGGCTTCTTCAGCACAGCGCCGGCTCCCATCCCGAGCCGTCTCCCGACGGCTCGGACGCCCGGCGCTGGCCCGCCGGCAGGCGCGGCGCGGTGCAAGGCCTGCCGCCCCGCCGCGCTCCGAGGAGCCGGGTGCCCAGGGCCCCTCGCGAAGGCTGCCTTGGGCCCTCGGGGCCAGCTGCGCGCCGCGCGCCAGCTTCGTCTGGGTAGGGACAACGCCCGAGCGATCGCCCCCTGCACCCTTCGATCGGCGCCTCGGTGCAGGAGACGGAACTGCTTTCTGGCCGGACGTGGGCTCGGACACCGAGAGCGGCTGGGACCCCAAGAGACGCGCCACAGAGGCAGCGCCGACGCGGCGCCGCGCAAGCCTGGCCCGCGTGCTCGCGGCAGGATGCGACGGGCCTTCGACCGCAGGCCGGGGGCGCAGAAGGGGCGGCGCTCACGCGGCCCTCGCCTCCGCGCCAGCACGGCAGGCGGGCGCGGGCTTGGTGGCGGCCTGGCCTCACGGCAAAGGGAACTGTCGCTAGCGGGGGCCGGGGAGGAGAAGGAGGAGGAGGAGGAGGAGGAGGAGGAGGAGGAGGAGGAGGAAGAGGAGGAGGAGGAGGAGGAGGAGGAGGAGGGGGAGGAGATGATGATGATGATGATGATGATGATGATGATGATGATGATGATGATGATGATGATGATGATGATGATGATGATGATGATGATGGTGAGGAGGAGGAGGAGGAGGAGGAGGAGGAGGAGGAGGAGGAGGAGGAGGAGGAGGAGGGGGAGGGGGAGGGAGGAGGAGGAGGGGCCCAGCGTAAGAAGGAGGGGGTCGTCAGCATCTAAGCCCCAGACGGCGGGGGCAGAGGCGGATTGCCTCCAGCAAAATTCTCGGGTAAACCATCCGATGCCGAAAACGGTGGCGGGCGAGGCCGCGGAAGACAAAACGGGGGGGCAGGCGAGACGGCAGAGGGCAACAGCACGGCAGCCTCGAGAGGAGACGAGGGCGAGGAGGGGGGCGCGGGGGGCTAGGGCGGCGCCTTGTCGAGTGCGTTGGCCTGAATCCCGACGTAGGGGATGTTGCAAGGAGCTGTTCTTTCAATCTGGATGTGGCAGCTAAAGGACGGCGAAAAGAGCCGACGGGCAATCGAGAGGCCCGCGAGCGGAGGAGGAGGAGGCGGGGGGCAGGCAGCGGCAATCGCAGGGCTCGGGGGCGAAGGGCGAGCGGAGGGAGGGCGGCCGCTGAAGGCCATGCGAGCAGCCGAAGGGAGCACAGGCACGGAAGGAGCGAACATGCGGGGGCGGGGGGGGGGCAAGGGGGCAGACGAGAAAAGAAAATATCCGAAAGAGGAAAACAACGGGATCGATGGGGTGGGCAGGCTCACTCTCCCCAGGAAGGGCTCCGTCGACCAGCGGCGTGGCGGGCGCGCAGGGGCGGGCGTCGCAGTTCCCCTCGGCGATGCAGAGCTTCGCGCGGCCACTGATGCAGCGGGCGACCGCGGACCACTCGGAACAACAAAACTTCTGGCGGCAATCGGTGTTCGCGGCGTCGCCGATCTCCCCGCGGCAATCGAGGCAGCGGGCGTCATTGCGCACGTCGGGGCCATCGTTCTCAGCGGTGCCACTTATCTTTTCGCAGAAGACGCCAGGGCAAGCGTTCTGGCGCGATCGCGCGCGCAGGGGCCAATATTTCCTCCAACAAGTGGCGACGTCGAGCCCGAACACGACCACGGGACTTGCAATCTAACGCCGGCGGGGGCGAGGCCCGAGTCGAAGAATCCAGGGCGCGGCGACGTCGAGCCCGAAAACGACAACGGGTCTTGCGATCTAACCTGAATTGGCAGGGGGCCCGTCAGGAGGCATCCTGAGCGCGGCGACGCCGAGCCCGAACGCGACAGCGGGACTTGCGCTCTAACGCCAGCGGCGGGGGAACCACCGCGCGATCCATTGGCAAGTGTCGACGCCGAGCCCGAATGCGACAACGGGACTAGCGCTCGAACGCCGCGGCGGGGACCCACCGGGCATGAGGGCGCGCGCCCAGGAAGTGGCGGCGCTGAGCCCGCGCCCCCATGAGGAGCTTGCTTTCCAACGCCCTCGGAAGAAGACGAAGACGAAAACGGCGTAGCACTCGAGGAAATCGAAGCAGCCGGCCCGGGCGAGGGCGAGGGCGACGCAGAGGAAGACGCACTCCGCATGCGCGGAGCGGGCCGCGCAGCATCAGGCGAGCACGAGGTCCCCGAAGACACCGAACACGAAGAGGATGGTGGGCGCCGAATGCGGCGAAGCAGCGGGCCCAGGAGAGCTCGCTCCTCAGCGCTCAGGCAACGAGAGGTGGCGAGCCGCGTCGGGCGAACCCCTGCGAGAGCAGCGCTGCGGATCGCTAACAGGGGGGGGGCGCTCCTCAGAGCGACGGGCGACGTCGTGCATCGCATGGGCAGCAGCCAGCCACGAGAAGACCAGCAGCGAGGGATGCCGCAGGCCACACTTCACCATCGGGCCCCGCGGGAGACGACCCAACGCGGCCGCCAGCGCTTCGCGAAGACGAAGGAAGCGAAGATAATGGGCAAGCGCGTCACGGGCCAAGCACCCATGCGCACAGCATCTGCGCCCGCGCGGGTGCATGATCCTCGAGGAGGTGAGCCAGCCGTCGCGCCAGGTGCGCAGGGCAGCCCATGCCCAAGAGCATGGGCAACGCTTGATGATGCGGACGATGGAGCCCCACTCGGTCTCGTCGAGCAGCTCGGATCTCGCGCCAACGAACTTGAGCAATCGTCGCCGGACATGGTCACGGAGAGGTGCAGTGCGAAGAGCTCGATCCCGCGTCGCAAGATGCGCAGCGCGCTGCGGACGTGGGCGCGCGCACAGACACGGAACAAGGGCGCCCTGCGCGGCAGGGCGCCCACGCGCCAGCGCGCAAGCAGGCAAGCCCAAGGCCCAGAAGGCGGGGGCCCGACGGCGGCAGAGCGCTGGCTCTCCACCAAGGCGGGGGGGCGCCAGTGGGTCGGGCAGCAGCGCCCCGAGCTGGGCATCAGGAGCGACTACTCGGGGGCAAGCGACTCGGCGCGCGCCTGCAGACTGGGCGAGATCTCACTGCACTGCGTGCACTGCGGGAAGGTGGCCAGGGATGCCCGCAACAGCGACGCTGCATTCAGATGGGGCCACCGCGCCGCGCGCGGCCCACTCCACAGCCCGTTCTGGGACCGCGCCTCGGCCGTGAAGATGCCGAGCGCCACGCGGAAGACTTGGGCGAGAAAGCCCGTCTCCAGGAGCGGAGCATCGGGAGGCAGACGCCAGTATTCAGCAATGTAAGAGAGGGTTGGTACAATTCTTGAGTTGTCAATGCTCGCACACACCGAAGCGGGAGCGAGGCCGGCGCTCAAAGCACGGGCACGCAAGCGAAGTTTGGTGATCGGGTCCCTCAAGAGCCGCTCGAGATCAACTGCGGGCCCAAGCCAGACGCCCAACTGCAGCAGGCACTCAACTATATCGTACGAGGCCCAGGCGGGGGCGACAAGCTCGACGCAAGCCCGGAGACGTTGACGGAGGCTGTCACTAAAGGCTTCTGATAACGGTACCATCTTGCACTTCGGCATTTGGAACACCAGGTTTGCAAATCGACCAGTCAACGTCATGACACCAAATACCTCCTTCAGATGTTGAGCACCACTTAGAGCCCCACCGATATCACCCGCACATGCGCCCCGTGCGGATAGCCAGGTCGACCGGGAAGGGCGAGGAGGCCAACGCATAGAGGGGGCCCGAGAGCGCGCGCCCCTGGATAATTCCACCGCGGACCCAATCGAGATGAACACGTTGCCCCGCCACCGCCGCAATACCAAGTAAAATACGGTAGAGGAAAGGCGTGAATACCAAAAAGGTGGAGGCGAGCTGGAGAGAGGCGAGAGCGAGCATGAGGTAGTCCTGCTTCAGGGGGAGGAACGCGTGCCCGAAGTCCAATGAGAAGAGGGTCGGGATGTCCTGGGACTCAGACGGAAAAGAAGAAAGCTGTCTGCCGGCAGCGCCCAGCTCCAACGCATTCAGGCCGAAGTTCCTCTCAGGAACGAAGCCGCGCTGACAAGCAGGAACCGCGCGATGAAGCGCAGGACGAACTGACATGTTCATAATAGCTGAAAGCACATGGACGTCGCAATGGCGGAGTCCCAAGGCACGAACTTTACTGGGGGAACGCGAGCACGAGCCACTCTGGAGCTCGTCGCCACCTGTGCTTTTTCGGAAGGAAGGCCTGGATCGTCGCACTAGCCGCGTCGAAGAGCACCTCCTGGCCTGATGGGGCCCACTCGAGGCAAGCCCAGAGGGCCTCGAGGCCAGACGGGTCGGCCTGCCAGGCCGCGCAGGGGGGCCCATCCTCACCAGTAGCCGAATGCCGAGCGCGAGCGAAGACCGAGTTCATCATCATGAACAAGGGGGCGGGAGGTCGATGTCACCGAAGGGGGGGGGGGTTCTCGCGGATGCAGGGCGCCGCACAGGACTCGTCCAAAGGCTTCTTCGAGAACGCAGGGGCCCAGAACCTCCGCAGACAGGAGAGCCGCTCACTGGGCGCGGTCGCGGGAGAGTCGCCCGCGGAGGTGGCGGCGGCGAGGGACTGCTTGCGAAGCTCAGCTCGCGACGCGTCCGCCGCCTCGCACTGAGCGCGATCAGGCCGGGCGAGGCTAGACTCAGGATGACGCAATCGAACCGCCATCCACATACTCCAAGAAGTCGGTCGCCACCAGGTGGAGGCGAACCAATTTCCCACCCAGCAAGACGCCCTGTCTCCAAGTCTCCAAATGCGCCGAGCGATCGAGCGGGCAAGCTGTAGCAGGACACGAGGATGATGGGTCGGGCGCGAAAGAGACGATCGTTTCACTGGCCGCGATGCGAACGAGCTCTTTGCATCGCTCGAGACGGCGGGGAGGGGGGGGGGCGACGCAGCTCGGCGCGTCTGACGAGGGCGCGAAGACGATGCCGATAGAGCGGATCCTGAAACACACGCCGGTCGATCGGCTGCTTATCCTTCGGACGGGGGCGCCTCGGAGAGAGAGCGAGAACGAGCGCGGCATGACCCGATGCCAGAGTGTCTGGCACATCCGCTGCGGTGCCAACTGCGTTGACCTGTAGGTATAGCTGGCATGGCATCCACCCAACCCAGGGCACGAGAAGCATAGGCGATCAATGCACGACTCAAATTGGTTGTTTGTTTTCGTAGCGGGCGGGCGAGGTGCTCTCCACCTCGAGCAGCTCGGCGAGCGCGAGGCGCCGGGAGGCTGCCCGCGCACGGCGCCGCCGAGCCGCGCGACGCACGGCTGCCTGCGGCACGTGCAGGACCAACGCCTCCCCCGATGCGAAGTTGAGGTCCCCGTTGACGATGGCCAGGCGCTCGGTTGGGCCCGGAGCCGCAAACGCACGGGCGCCGCGGCTAACCTGCGCCGCCGACGAGACCTGCTCGGTCGTGAGCACGTGGTGGTGGACGTTGAAGATGTCAAGCTGGACGTCGGCGACCTCGACCAGAGCGCGGATGGCGCGCCCAGCCGCCAGGGGAACAGCGCGGCCCTGAACAGGATGACCATCCACAGCACCGAGCGCAGGAAGGAGGATCGCCACGCCACCGCGCGCCCTCTCCTCAGGCGCGTCGCCACAAAGTGAAGCGTGGATCGCGACTGCGGGGTCGATGCCCCGGATGAATTTACCAAGCTGTCCAGCGTCTTGCAGAACTTCCTGGGGGGATACAATGCTCTTACCGGTGTTCAGCTTCTCCAAGTACCTCCTCTTGAGCGCAGCTTTGGCCCCGGCCGCTTGCAAGAGAGCCCTCGCGTTCCGAGTCACTGCGGGCAGCGGGGGAATGGCGCCGCCAGATACAGGGGCAGAACACTTGGAAAAGCCTCGACACGTCAAAGACACCGCTGAGGCTCGGCCTGCGGCGCCACGAGGTGGCGCGTGATCTGCGCAAGGTTGTACTTGCACAAGTTGTACTTCTGCAGCGCCGCTGGGCCCCGCGCGATAGTCGCGGGCGCCACGCCCGCGGCCACCTCGACGCGCAGGATCCTGCCCCGCCCGACCGAGAGCGTGCCACGGTCGCCGTCGCTATAGAGGCGGAGGTTGGGATGGGCATCAGCAGTGGCCGACCGACCTCGGCGGAGCAACATCTCGGTCTTGATCTGGCGAGGGTTCTTATCTGGACCAAGGTGCATGCGCGACCGAGCGGCGCCTGGGGCGCCCACGTGGAACTCCTTGCGCGCGCCATCCACACGAAGGCGAGACAAAACACGAAGGACTTTGCAAGAGGCCACGGCAACAAGGCCGCCGAACTTGAGAAGGAACTTCTTGCAGGGCGCCTGCCCCGCGGGTGAGATCTCATACTCGGACTCAAGAAAGCCGAGCTCGGCCAACCACTCCGAGAGGGCAGCACCGACGAGCTGCTTGGTGGTGGCGGCCTGGCACATGATGACCACCGTGGCATCGACGTCCCGCTCGAAACCCTGGGGGATCGCCAGGTGCACACGAGGGCGCTTCTCGGCAAGGGTGAGCTGGTCGCGCAGCTCGCGCATCTGCCTCTTACGCTCGTCCACGTCCCCCTCCTCCGACGAAAGGCGTCCACCATGATCTTGCAACGCACCGGTACACACATCAATCTGCTCCTGGAAAAAAAAAAAGAAGCGTCATCAACATCCCGACGAATCACACCGAGGATCTGTTGGTCGAGCGCAGCTGGTTGTCCCGCGAACCCAGTGTGAAACTGGTCGACGAGTGCGAGCATCTTGCCAGTGGCCGAGGCGACGTGGTCGGTGACACAAGCTTTGACCGAGTTCGCCAGCTCTTTTTCAACCTTTTTTTCCCCCAGAACAGTTGGGAAGAGGTCCATACATACTTGGCGCACATCGTCGTCCGACATGTACGCATCTTCCGTCTCCTGCTGTGCATCATCTGCAGCTGATGCACTGCACGCTTACGGGGTACGAACATGCAGAACAAAAAACAGGAGAAGACCGGTCAGCGGGAGCAGAGCTGCGACCACCCTTGCCAGAACCCACGACGGGAGCGGGCGCGGGCTCCTGCGAGGCGAACGTGGGGCAGACATCGATGGCACCGGCATCCTGCGACGAGAGCTGGTGCCCGGGGGAGGCCTCCATGTCGGAAAGGTCGGGGGCGTTCGGACCGACACGAACGCGAAACGCATCCGCTTACCCACCGTCCCGAGCGCAGGGAGAGCGGATATAAAATAACTCCAGACTTCAAGAAGTCTTGCCTGCCGCGGACTAACGGTATCCGATTCGTTCCCAGGGGAAACGTGCATCTTGAGCCAACACGGCTACGGAGGAGGAGGATAAGGACGACGGCGACGACGACGAGGACGAGGAGGAGGAGGCGGAGGAGGAGGACTCCGCAGCTCCATGGGCCGCGGGGCCACGTCCGCGCCAGCGCTTGGGGCAGGGGATGAGGCGGCGGTCCTCCTCAGCGCGGACGGTCTCGTCCTCCATGGCCTTGGCGTCGGCGGCGATCTGCGAGATCAGGGCCATCACGCCGGCGCTGCCCGCCGACTTCTTGTACTCCTCGCGGGGGGGGGGGGGCGCGGAGGGAGGGAGGGGTTGGCGGGGGAGGACGAGGAGGGGGGGGAGGGGGGGAGGGAGGGAGGGGGGAGGGGGGGAGGGAGGGAGGGAGAGCAAAGGGGGGGCGGGAAAGGGAAGGGGGGGAAAGGGGCCATTGATGGAGGGAGCAACCAGGAGGCACGGAGGCACTGACGTGGAGGGGGGGGTGCGCGGCATGGCGTCCAGGAGAGGGGGCGGAGGGCAGCGTGGAGGGAGGAATCACGAGAGAAACGGCGGGAGGATCCGCCGACCCTCTGTGGGCCTCCAAGCTTCTGCTTAGCGAATCGTTGCGGCGGCCCTGGCGACACGCTTTGCACTGCAAGCGGATAGCGTGTCGCTCTGCTCCGCCGAGCGGGAGGCTGAGGAAGACTCGGGACGTTGACGCACGAGGACCAGGACATGCATAGCGTGTCGCGCCGAAACGTGGTGGGTCAGAACCGGCGGAACGACACGCCAAGCTGAAGCTCCCGGTCGTCATCCCCTCCCCCCTCCCAAAGAGCCCAACATGCGTGGTTGATTCCCCCCCCAAAGCCCGGCAAGACCCCCGGGTGAACTTACCAAGGGTGGTCCGGCTCTCTCTGGGCTCCTCGTGCGGCTTCGAAACGGCCCCTGAGGGTTCAAAGACGATCACGACAACCCACAGAAACCCAACAAGTGCCGCAAGAAACCTTGAAAGGGCTTCAAACAAGGTCCAACTCCCTTTCGAGACGGTCGACGATCCCTCGAAAACGCCCCAAGCGGGGTCGAAAAGCTCTCCGAAAGAGCCCACAAGGGTGCTTGAAGGTTTGTTGGCGTCTTCGCCTGTCCGATCACAACTCTCCTGCACGGCCCAAGAGGTCTGTAAGATCGCCGCCGGACGTCTCAAGAAACCCCCATGATGTCCCCAAGACGACCCGTTGGGGCCATAAGATAGCCCGAGAGGCTCCCAACAGAGCCCTGAAAGGCCCCAGATGCAAAAACAAATCCAAGAGGAACACGTCGAATTTTCGATTTCCCTCCAAGAGAACCCAAAGCGCACCCAAGACGCCCAAAAGAAGTTCAAACATGCCCTTGACAAAAGCAAAAACACGAAAAGCCCAGATGAGACCCCATGAGGCCCGCACAAGGCCCCCAAAAAACCCAAGGGGCGCCCAGCAAGTTCAAACATGCATCCTAAAGGGCCCCGACAGGCATCATACAGTCAACCAGTATCATAACGACGCGCGATAAGGATGCAAGGGCCTTGGAAGGCCACCTCGAAGCTTTTCGAACAGGGCGCGGCCAATGAAAAGGACCAAGGATGAACCGAAGAGGAAAGGATGTAAGGCTGGCCCTGGGAATAGTGCCCATTCTTACCACGCGGGCCGACTGTATCCTCCGACCCTTTTCTGGGTCGCCCTCCCTCAGCAGACCCTCCAATTCAAACGCTGCCCGCCACAAGAGAATCACGTGCACGTTCAACTCTTTAGCGCTACTCCACATCAGCCGTGAACGATTTTCAGCTCAACCTGCTCTACGGCGTCCCCTTTGGGAATCTCGATTGCGCTTCTCGATGCGACGTGATGCTGCCCTCCAATTTGCTTCGCATCTGTCCACGACTCCGTAGTCTTCGCACCGACGAAGCACATGCCCGCGCTCGAGCGACCCACTCGGCACCGCACGGGGGATTCATTCGGCGCATGTGCCTGAATGTTGCACACAAAAACAAACACATGACATTCATGCCGCTACCGTTTGAAAGCATTTTCCGTGTTTCCTCCCTCGCAGCTTTCCAACGAACCACACGGCCCAGGGAATCCCAAGGACGACCCCAGGAATCACCCAGGAAATCCTCAAAACATTCCCGTGGGGCCCGAGGACATTCCAAAGGCCCCCACCAGGGCCCCACGAAACCCCAATAAGTTTCAAATGAGTCCCACAAAAAGCCCTGCACCGGACCGCGCAATCAGTTCTCCAGCTCTCCCCTACGGGTGGCGCCCTGGGCCCCCGACGTGCCCCTCAAGAGCCCCAAAGAGGCCTCGCTGAGACTCCAGCGAAGGACTTGGGCGCCCCCAACTACTAAGCCCCACAGAAGTTCACAAGACGCACCGCGATACTCCGCAAATTCACCCACGAGCACGTGCCCAGCGCCCTTGTTCTCCCCTCCAGCGCCACGACGGCCTCCCCCCCCGCGCTGCCGCCGCCGCCGCCTGGACCTGGTCGGCGCATCCTTCCCCAGCTCATGCAGCTACGCCGGGCGTCGGCGTCATGGTGGTGAACCGGATGACAGCGCTTTGCTCGTGGCAGCCTCCCCCCCCCCAACGCCCGCCTCGGCGCAGCCCCGCGCGGGCACCGCGCGCTGCCAGTGGGACCCGGCCCTGGCCCCACATCAAGCAGACGCCAACAACTGTACAGCAAAGCCTGGCGCAGCTCGGCCACGTGACGAACAATCGGATGCATCTCTCATACCTGACAACTTCGTGGAACTTCTGTACTGGCGCACTGCGAACACCTTGTTCCCGACGCTCTCAGCGCTTGCGCCCCTGGCTAGGTCCTTGGATGTGGCCGTGATGCCGTCCCGCGCCCACTGCCCTGGCCCCGCAGATCCCGCTGGCCAAACTTGCGCGCTCGCCGGCGTCGCCGTGCGCCGTGAAATTCCTTCCCGCGCACCCCCTCCCGCATCCGGACATCTACATCATCGAGGGTCCCCGGCTGCTGAGATCTTCCCTCCCCAAGAGCGACAGCCCTCGAGAGGGGGCCCTACAACGCACGACAGAGCCCCCACGACGACTCGCATCAGAATCGGCTAGGAAACTTAAAAAGTGTGGTCATCGACGTCCGTCTTTCTCCTGTGTGACCCTGTGCCTCCCTTTCTCTACGCGTTTCTCTACCTGCCTCTCTTCCTCTTGTTTCTCTTCTCTCACCCTCCCTATCCACCTGGTAGTCGTCCTCCTCCTCCTCCTCCCCCGCCCCCGCCCCCTCCCCCTCCTCCTCCCCCTCCTCCTCCTCCTCCTCCTCCTCCTCCTCCTCCTCATTCTCTGCCCTCTCTTCATCCTTTTCGTCCCCCCACCCATTCAGCGTTCCCCTTCGCCCCGTTCAACGGCATCTTCAAATGCGCCTCCCTGACATTCACTGCGCGGGCGTCATCAGCGCGATTTGCTTTTCAAGGCGTCGCATTTGGCCGAACGTGCGGTGCGGCATGGGCCCGCCAGCACACGCGGACTTAAGGAGCCTCCTCCCGCGCGCGCCCGTGCACCCATACACTTGTCAACCTCGCACCGTTATCCCGATGGCCTTGCAATTTGCGCTGACTGCGCCCGCTCTATGTGTCAGGTGTTTCAGCTCCTGCGAGTTGCTTATGTGGCCCTGCCGCAGGAACGCCATGCTACACGCCGCGCGAGTCAACTCGCGCGCCAACCGTTTGCCGCGTCGGCCACCTCCTTCGTGGTGCTGCACCGCTTGCTACAGTCCCCACAGACCACTCTCGCTCCGTTGTTCATCTGGGGATCCTTTACTTGGTTTTTGATCAGATGATCCCTGTCCCAGAAGCTAACCAACCAATCACGGCGCGCAGCACGTTAACGGCTTCGCGTGCGCCTCCACCTTCCTCTCGTGGTTGGCCGTCTCGTAATTCGCTCGCAACGCCGCCTTCGCCTTCTTTCCCCGCGCATCTCTTGCAAAACATTGCGCCGCTCCATTTGGCAGCTTTGTTTATCCGACGCTCCCGCGGCTTCTGCGAAATAGCAAACGCACAGCATTCCGCCAGGTGGGTCAAGATCAATAGCTGCGGCGCGCGATAAGGCTATCCTCTGGAAGATACAGAACCTGTTGAGGATGAGAGGGGGAAGTTGGTAGATCACAGCGCCCCCCAGGCCTTTGCACTGCCATCACTGTTAACGACCTTCGCAATCTCCAACTAGGACACGAGCGCGGCACCACCAGGAAACACTTCTGCACCCACACGTGCGCCATACGCGAGCTCCGACGGGGCGTACATCTCCCACTAGCCACCTTCGACCATCAGCTGCACTTCCTCTGTCCAGCCATTGATCAACCGTATGGACGCGAAGATTCAAAGCTTACCCATGTCGAACATTCGATAAGGGTGCCTTTCAATGCCAAGAGCATGGGGCAGCGATGCATGGGTGGCATTTCCCATGCCGCTGGTGCATCAGGCCGTACTTGAGCGTCTTCCCGACTGGGTCGGTCGCGAAAGCGTGGCCGCAGAGGAGGCCGAACACAACAACATCCCTGCTCCGATTCACCGTACCACAAGGAATTGTCATGATTTGTCGGGGCAATTCGAGTCAGAAGTACCGTGGCTTGAACCACAACAACTTGAGACAAAATGGCTACAGAGAAAAATCAAGAATACGCCGAACGTTCGTGTTCGAACATCGCACCCTGTCCGCGGTCTAGTCCCACTTGGCGTTGCCAACGAGCGATTTCTTTTGAGCTCTGATGCCTGCGCACTTCGCGCAATACTTCGTTCGAGCGCACTTGCACTACTCTGCATCACCTGCCCCGTCACCCCTCCCACGCCCACCGTGCAAGGTCGAGCCATTTCTTCCCGACTGGCCGTGTGAGCTCTGGAGTTCCTGGAGGCGCGATGGCACGCTGCTCGAGGAGAAGCCCTTCAGAGAGCCAAAAACTGATAAGGGGCTCAAGCAGCCGCGAAGCGCCTCCGACGAATTGCTCGCAGACCCACCCGATGGCATCGCAGACGATTCCTGGACCGAACCCGCGCTCCCGGTCGAGGACCTCTAAGCCAGTGGTAGCCCCAGGATCTTATCTTTAGGTCGGGCATGTTCCCCTAAAGTCGGATCCTGGGCGAACAGTTCAAAATATCATACAAAAACTCAATAATAATCAGAAATAAAAAAACTTCCCCGGACTATTTTTTTACTGTTGTTGAATCTTCCGCCTGTAGAAGGACATGCCCGGCTGAATCCTCTCTCCCTGGGGCCCACAGC